GGAGAAGGAAGGAGGGGGAAGGGAAGAGGGAGGAGGGGGGAGGGAGGAGGGAGGAGGGAGGAGGGAGGAGGGAGGAGGGTGGAGGGAGGAGGGAGGAAGGAGAAAAAAGGAGGGGGAAGGGAAGAGGGAGCGCTCGAGCGCCCCTCCATACCCATGACGTGTACATGTACAGGTCTTTTGTTAGTCACTATTTCCAGTCTCTCATGACGTGCTTTCCCTCGTACTCGAATGAACTTGCCTCCCACTTCATATAAACCTAATGGCTCATCATTACCGTCAGCATGTTGAGAAACGCTCGATGCTTGCTCAGGTCGTCCGAGGAGCGGATGGCGAAGCGAAACGTGGCGTCCAAGATCCTCAAGGCCATGATGGACTTGAGGCTGCTGAAGAATCTGGTCTTTCTCCTCTTCGTCGTCTCCAACTTCCTCACCAGCATCGGGTTCATCATTCCATACGTCTACGTCAAGGCATGAGAGCACCTCCTGCGCTAATTTCAGCAGCATGGTTATCCTAAACAAAGGTCCAAACTGTTTTTTTTTTTTACAATTACATAATTTCCCAGCAAACAATTAGAAACACATAACGTCGAATCTACGTTGAATTAACATTGAATAAACGTTCGGAACGTCGATACAACGTTGGTCCAACGTAGCCTTGTTTGCTGGGATGTTGATTAACTTATTACTTTACTTAATTTTAAAATATGCAGGCGGGAAGTCAAACTAACTGATCTCGATCGTGAAAGTGTCTCAAACGGAAAATGTGCAACACTGCACGAATAAGCGAGCTATCAGTTTAAAGTAATACATTAGGCAACCCTGCTCAACCATGGCAACCCTGCCACAGGACCTGGCGATGGAGAAAGGCGTGAGCTCGGAGGACTCCAGTTTCCTCCTGTCGGTGATCGGGATCGCCAACACGCTGGGGCGAGTGACGTTCGGCTACATCTGCGACCACCGCTGGCTGTACACCGAGAACCTCAGGTGGGTCGGGGCTTTTGGGAGAAAAGGGAATCTGAGTAAATTCTTTTTAAGGGAATTTTTTTTTAGGCAATTCCTTTTGAGGGAATTTCATGTACCAGAAGGAAATCTCCAAGTCGTGTGCATATTTAATGAGTGCCTTCGAGCCTTCGAGAAAAAAGGATTGCGTGGGTCATCGACTGGTCATAGATTGAGGAATGACGAAAGCACCACACGACACTATGGCATTGTTAAATCACATGTTAAATAATATAACACAGGAATTGTTATTAAACGCAATGTTGGAAATGCATGAGGAATTTCCAATCGATCGGATCGAATTCCTTCCACTTTATGTGCTTTAAATGTGTTTTCTCCATGTTATTTTCCATTCAACTGCAATGACTCCGTTAGTTACTGCAATTGCTACATCAGCTACTGCAATGACAACTCGAAGCTGCAACCGTATGGAGCGGCTTCGTTTATCACTCATTGGAAATAGCATCTCCTACATGTCCATAAAGCTGAGTGATAAAAATCTCATCACGTCAGATGAACATCGGTGAAAAATTAAGAATTCCCAGTGAAGAATTCCCTGTAAAGAATTCCCTGTAAAGATTTCCTCATCGGGTCCTTATGAATGTGTGCAGGCGAAGGCTGTGGCTGTACAACATCGCCATCATCGTCTGCGGACTCAGTGAGCTCCCTTTTCATCTGCCTCGGGGGAAACGCGAATGAACAATTAAATTTTAACTTCAATTTTTCAATTAAAATATGACAATTTGCATCTCTTGCAAAAACCATCATTTTCAAGTTTGCTATTAATTTTTAATAAACACCGAATAATTTTACCACCCCCATCCCTTGAAAGGCAAACCATTTTAGTGCACGAATAACTTCATGATCGCTCAGTTCCATAAGCAACTTGGAAACTTGACGTGATATTGAAACCAAAGAACCAACTATTATATATTAAACCAACTCAATATTTAGTCAACTATTGAAAATATAAAAAAAATCATAAAAAGTTCTTCATTCTAGCATGAACCCAGCTAGATTTTCAAGAGGAAATGGTGATAATACCACTTGAAGGCAGATAGCGGAAAAGGCCATTGTTGTGTTTGATTTTAGAAGTGCAACTCCCCATCTGAGATTCCTGTCTGGTCCGCTCACTTGCATTTCACGACGGGCTATGGAGATTCGTTTTTAAAAATCCTTGGGGGAAATTATTTTGGAGACTTGTTTGGGAGATTCGTTTGGGAAATTCATTTGGGGAATTCATTTGTGAATAAATTCATGAAAATTGCGTGGGAAGTTCACTTGGGGAATTCGTTTGGGAAAATAAATTGGGGGATTCCTTTAAGAAATTCGGTTAGGAAATTCATTTCCATTGAGAAAAACACCAAGTGAAAGGAAAGGAAACCTCCGGAAGCTCGGCATGTTACCCTTCTTAGGCACGGCGCTGACGACCCGAGGAACTTCGTACGGGGTGCTGGTCCTGACCACCTCGGTGTTCGGGTGCACCTCGGGTGCGTATGTGGGGCTGACCTCGGTGATCCTGGTGGACCTGCTGGGGATCGAGGCCCTGACGAACGCGTTCGGGCTGGTGCTGCTCTTCAACGGGATCGCCTCGCTCTTCGGGCCTCCCATCGCCGGTGAGAGAGTCAGATAAAGCTTCGAATAGGGTGGACCAAAAAATGCTACTACTGTAATTGAAAAACATCGCTATCGTAGTTAAAAATTTCAATTAAATTTCATTAGACTTATGGTTAAGTTCTCGTTTAAATTATGGGTTAATAATTAATGGATGCAGTTTCTGTTGTCAAAAGTTGGTATTAAAGTACGATCTGACATTTCGAACTTGCATGGCTTATTCCCAGTAAGTGCTGACATTTTTTGGACTACCCATTTTATTTGAAACGTTGTATGAAAAAGAATAATGCCAAGAGGCTGTTCGGAGCAGGTTGGCTGTACGACAGACTGGGATCTTACGACTCGGGCTTCTACGTGGCCGGGACGGTGATCGCCCTCAGCGGGCTCATGCTCTTCTGCATCCCCCTCGTGGAAACGCTGCAGGCGCCGTTCGAGGGGAGCCGGGGAAGGAAGTCGAGGCAGGCGCCGTTCGAGGGGTGCCAGGAAGGGAGGACGAAGCAGGCGCCGTTCGAGGGGGAGAAGAAGGTCCTGATCGGGGGGATTCCGTGATTCTTGTGATGAGGATGCTTTGATGTTTCGTAGGGTGCTTTTCGTGAATTTTACCGGTGGTGAGTCCGTTCTGGGCCGGCGTTCGCAGAGGTCGGTCTGCTTTCATGCTTGTGTTGTTATTTGCACGGAGGGAAGATATTCGATGAGGCTATCTGATTTTCTTTTTCATTCTTAAGAAAAATAAAAGGTGACAAAAACAATTGCATTTAGCATATTTACCTTTCAAACAAAGCTGTTCCGCAGTTGCCTCCAAATAATTCATTTCCTATATTATAACATCAAATGTTACTTGTAGAAATAACTTCATATTGCTGCACTTCTCTGCAGTTTCTTCAGCGTTCTTCACGAACGCGAAAAGAGCTTCAGGGCCTCAGAGGTATCATGCGATGACAAGGGCATATAAATAGGACATGTGAGAAGCACACCGCTCACTTCTTCGGTCTCGGCGGAAAATTCGGCAGTGACATTAAAAGAGGATGCACCCAGACAATCGATTTACTTATTTTCCATCAGAATAGTTGACGTCAGAGGGAAGGATAATACCAAACATGCGTCATCGTAGTTGCATCAGTTGCTCCTCCATGGCCTCCACCTGCCCCATGCTCGGCCGGTCAACGATCTCCACCTGCTCCATACGTTGCCGGTCTGGGAGCTGCGTGTGTTCGGGAGTTGTCGCTCCAAGAATTCGACTTGCCACGCCAAGTTCATGTGCATGAGGCTGGCTTCCTCCTCTTGCCAGGGTTCTTCCTCCTGTCTGGCTCTTTCGCTTTCTGGTTTCTTAACCTTAAGGGTCTGCTTTCCGATCTTGTTGGCTCGTTCTAGGTCGTCGGTGTCCTTCTTGCTTCTTTTGAATTCGGGGTGTTCCTTGAGGAGGAGGTCGACGAGGTTCTGCAGCCCGTGGTTCTTGGCGACAGCGACCGCCTTGCCCCTGCATTGGGGGCAGCGGCTGCTCCTCTTCATCCACCGGGAGTAGCAGCCGCCGCAGAAGGAGTGCATGCAGGGCTGGACGGCGACGCACTGGTGCATCGCCTCCTTGCAGATGGGGCAGGTCAGGTGCGCGAGGAGGTCTGAGGTGAAGCTGCTGGGTTTGTCTGGGAGTAGCAGCCGCCGCAGAAGGAGTGCATGCAGGGCTGGACGGCGACGCACTGGTGCATCGCCTCCTTGCAGATGGGGCAGGTCAGGTGCGCGAGGAGGTCTGAGGTGAAGCTGCTGGGTCTGTCGTTGTCTGCCATGAACGGGGGAGGAGGAGAAGGAGGTAAGGGGGCGAGGAGGAACTTCTGATGGAGGTTCGCTTTTGTCGCTTCTTGGGGTGATGCAGGCGGTGTCAGTGAGCCGCCTTCCTCAGGCGCTTTGGCTTTCTCGAGTACTTGGGAATGAATTGAGAAGTACGATCGGTTTCTAGGACACACAATAGTTAAAGAAAACCCGAGAGAAAGAGAACAATAAGTAGAGGGATTCCTCATCTGTGAATCCTATTAAATGCATTTGACTCTGCGCCAAACATGATTGTGAGGTTCAATGAAAAAATTCCACTCGCACAGAAACGGTCGCCTGAAATGCAGAACGTCACCGTCATTTTTTATGCATCTGGACTTAAGGCTGTGACGCATCACGAATAGAGCAAGACATCATTTGCTGATTATGTGACGAAACTTAGTCTCCATGGGACTAGAAACAGCCTGTTTGAGTCTGAGCGGCTGCTATTTCGAGCATAATTGAAAACAGACAAAAAATATCATGGAGCAAAAAAATTCCGGCGTCGGAGTTCTGCGAGGGCAGCGGCCCTAGCACTCCAAACTACTGCGGAGCACCTTTCATGAATCAGGGCGGCAACTATTAGAATTTTTCATGTGAAAAACCACACTTTTTCTTTAATTCGTCCAGGCGACAGGAAAATTTTTCTCTTTAATTTTTTTTTTAATGAGACAGAATTTTCGGCAAGGAGGAAATCATGGTATTGTACTGTAGCATGACTAATTAATTTCATTTACACGACAGCCTCAATCATTGATGCAGAATGGTACGGTCCGCGGCTCTAGAAAATTTTTAAATACAAAATTGGGCCCCCTCGGAGACCCAATACACTGGCCAGCGAACTCACCAAACTTACTTAAGACCTAACCGCACAAAAATTTACAGGCTGTGAGTTTATGCACAGCAATTTCGGTAGTGAAATGTTCATGTTGACCGCTGTCTAATAAAATTGCATGCGTAGTTTGCTTTTTTTTTTAATGAACAATGCACCGAGCTCCCCCAAAAAATATATTAACCCATTACCAGAAATAACACCCGAAAGAATAAGAAAAAGAATCACGAGATCCATATCCAAAGAAAAATCATTCTGATGTAGAATTTCTCTCACAACTTCCAATTTCTTTCACATTTCTTTCACATTTCTTTCACACGTAGAATTTCTTTCACATTTCTTTCACACGTAGAATTTCTTTCACACAGCTGCCAATGAATTACCTCTCATCTGCAAAAGTTGACAATTTCCCCGCTGAACTGAACTTCTTGTCGCTTGTGCCACACGAGAATGAATGCTAATCCAAAAAGGTTCAAAAATGCCTTAACAGTATGTTTAACGGCGCAAAACTCACGGCATGCAGGAATAACACGAATCGCCATCTGCAGGTCAATTGGCTCTGAATTGGCTTGAATTGGTCGGAGTCTTGAAAAGGTGACGCCCGAAATGTGATATTTTGATATATAATTGCCTCATGAGATATAACCATTTGACGGAAGGATCAGTGCACAGCACAACAGCTCACATTCCCTTGGTTCCAAGCGTAGTCATCTTTCCACTGTTCCATCCGTCGATTGATTATATCTCGTGAGGCAATCGGGTGTTAATATCAAATTTGGTATCGTTAGAAAGGGCATACGATTCATGTGGAAGCAAGTATTGAAACCACGAGTTCCAAGTGTAGACATGCGCCACTGAACACACATGGAATGAAGGCTTTTGAACAGGGCTGATGGTAGACGAGTTATCTGTTCTCACTCCTCAGAAAGTTACTGTGAATGGGGCCTACTACCGGGATCATATCCTCCCCGTGCATGCGGCATGCATTGAGAAAAGTCTCCAGTTCTCTCAGAGTGAAACAGTTATCCTCGTGCATGATGGTGCTGCGGCTCATACAGTGAAAGCCGCAATTTCAGCGGTTGACAACAGGTTTCAGAGTGTCTGGAAGGACTGGCATGGACATTCGCCTGACCTCGACCCGATCCAACGTCTGTGGGCTCGATTGCAAGATAGTGCGTTCAGGGAAACGCACAACTCACAATTGAAAAATTGTGGCAAGCACACAAAATATTGAATCCTTTCTTGCTCAAAGTATATTGTGTACCTCGTGTAACCTGGAAATTATATTTTGTCGCTGGTATTTCTAGTTCTATTTCGAAAAAACTAGGGGGAGAAACTTTCCGGCCACCCTGTATCCCGAGATCGGAGCGAGATTTTTTTTAAATCTCATGAATTTTTTTTCCTTACAGTCAATTCCTCTACATGCATACCGATTTTTGTCAAAATCTAAGATGGTTCAGCTCATCCTCTGGTCGATTTGGCGTGGAGTGACCCGAGAGTCAAGAAATGCTACGCTAATTACGACTCTTTTTCGGTCGTTTCTTCCGAAGTATCTTTCGCCCCACACTAATACACGTATCGAAAAAAGTTTTTGCACCATCCCCAGGTCTCTACAGGTTCTTGCCGCGATATTTTTCGTCATTACTTTGCTGCATTTCATTCCAATTCCATAAAAATGTCCCAAGACAAGCTAAGGACATTTGGTCCAGTGCAATAGCTAATCACCGGTTCTCCTAAGTATCGGTCGCCAACTGGGAATGGCTGCATGCCAGCATTGTGGCCCACTCTATCCATTAACTTCCAGATCCCTAAAAATAAAATATTGCTGATGAATCAGGACAGACACTTCAAAATAAAAAGGTAAACTTGGAGTGGAGAAGGGCAAACATGGAGGAAGCAGTGCAAAGACTGCTTCGTGCTGCTCATTATTCACCTTTAACACTTTCGCTGCCATACGACCCGCCGGCGGGTCGGACAGGTCCTTTCTACCAGATCATACGGCCTGCCATGGGTGGTTTGCATTGCTTTGCGTGATACGATCTATTGACCTCTTCCTTTCATCTTACGAATTTTATCGTCGCCTTCTGATGAGGTCAATTTTAATTCAAATTGATGGTGTTTCATTTCTCATTTCTTTTTTACAGTGTATTCAATATAAGTATAACTCCGTATAAGGGTTAAGTGGAAATTACTTCTTCCTCATTTCTGCATATAGGGCACATTACGGGAGTCTTTATATATAGTACAGTATGTACGTGGACATACGGGAGTCTTTATATATAGTATAGTATGTACGTGGACATATCAAAAAGGTCCTGAACCGGTTTTCATATGAGCAAACTATGTGCAGACGCTCTGTTTCAGAATGATCCCTTTTGGAATGCATGGATGACAAGAAAAGAATGCAACTTGAAAGTTTTC